AGGAGTGGAAAATATCTGCTCCTATTGGGGTTGGTTTTGGGCTGCCTTAGGTAGCCTTGGCACAACTCCACTGCGGCTGGCTGCTCCGGTGGCGTGCATCATCTAAATGCCATGCCCCTAGAGTGGCTGGAAGCCTCTCCCATCTGTCCACCTGTTTCAGGCCTAGGGAGTGCAGATCAGTTTCGTGGCCAGAATCCTGTTGGGGCACTACATTAATGTAAAAGTAGTTGCAGAAATGGTTGTACTTCTTGGGGGTTGAGTGAGGATGATCCCTAGTACAGCCAATTGTTCTACTAGTGCACACACAAAGCTCTTTCTGACTTTACTGACTTAGTGGGTGCAGAGCTACTAAATTGTTGTGCAGTAAATGAACTTATGTCCTCAGCACACATAGTAGAATCAGTTGCACAAGTTTGGGATCTGCCACAACTATGCTGGTGAATATTTTATTGCTAAGTTAGAATCTTGGCCTTCAGTTGTTTAATGTCCTGAGGACCTAGTTCATTGTCTAATTCCAGTTCTGGTAAAATGTACTGTTTTGCAAGAGCTTCATAGTCCCTAGAGTGAGTACGCTAGTGCCAACAGTGTGCAATAGCACAAGCTCTTTGAAATGTGAAGGAATATTAGGCTCCAAGCCAAAGGACTGTCCCTTTAAAGCTTCCCCCTTTTTTGAAGGGGTGGATATGACATGCCCAGTCTAGACCAAAACGAGGACAAAAGGTCTCAACTGAGCTTCAAGGCTTGCCTTGGAACTATCCCAGATGCTATGCTGTCCAGGCTGCCTTGCTCCCAACTCTCTTGCTCTTGTAACTGGCTGGAACACAACAGAATGACTGAGTTGGTCTCATAAACTGAGCTGCCAGCCCATCATTGTAATTCTAAAACACTTTAAGGCTGCAATTATATTCATTAGAGATGAAAATATAGGTGGTGGAGTGGTTAAATTCTGGTACTGCAATCACAACATTGTAAGTTCGATCCTAGGGCTTCAGGGTTGACTCAGCCTTCCATCCTTCTGTAGGTTGGTAAAATGAGTACCCAGGTTGTTGAGGGCAATTGGTGCAGAGAATGCTTAGTTCACTATGAAATGGTATAGAAATGTAAAGTGCTGCTAAAATCTATGAGGCAAATTTATTCTCATATAATATTTCCATCTGGTCCATGGAGGTGTCCACCAAGGCTGATGTGCTTTCCCAAAGCTGTCTCTTTCTGTCCAGAAAGGAACAGGTGTGTGGATTTAGCTTGGTCAACAGTTGCTTTTTGGAGGTAGTGCAGATGCCTTGAAGAGATAGATCCTAGGCTTTCCTTGGTTTTTGCATTAGAAAAGGCAGGCAGCATACAGAGTCACCTTCCTCTAGATATAAAATCTACTACTCTTACATGCTGGCCAAGTTATTTCCTTACAGGCAATTCTAATAAAGGAGGGAGCAGAGAGGCTGGGTGGTTTTTTTTAGAGCCATGAGAGGTCTTATCTCTAACAAACTGGCATATAATTGTTGCAGCTAAATACATATGTACATAAAATATCAGGGAGTAAGCACTATTGGACTCAGTGGGACTTATTTTTTAGTAAACATGTGGGATTATGCTATAAATCTCACATAAATGAATATGATTTCAGCATACTGGATAGTATATTGAATTGTAACATTTGCAGATTATATTGTTAGACTGCATCAGAGCTGAAA